AGGATGTAGCTGAAGTTAGGTCTGTGCTGATCAAAGACTTTCTGTGCTGCCTGAGGAACTGGCTGCTGAACTAGCTACCTGTCCTTCACACAAATCAATGAATTTGTATAAGAGATACATTCATATAGATGAGATTTACAAGACTAAATTGAACAGAGTCCTTGTTGTTTGGCAGGGATGAGAGAGTAGTGACACATGGAGGAGAAAACCTGGTGACAGCCCCTCAGCTGATGTAAATGCTGCAGGGATGCCAGGTGAGGTAGTGTCTGGAAATTGAAGATGCTGTTGGGTATAGGATAAACGCAATGCAGAGTGGAGCATCTAGCACGCTGCTAAACACCAGAGACACGTAACTATCCAGAGAACCAGAAACATCATTTTCACAACAGCTTTATGGGTTAGGATACTTTCAGAGGATTTTAGGAGCGTCACTCAAGAATCACTGTCATCATTCTTGGGTTCTTACCCCCATCACAGAAAAGGGAAGGGAAGGGGAGGGGAGGGGAGAAGGAAGGAAAAAAAAGAGACACCACCACCACCACCCACAATAGAAAAAAATGAAACAAAGGAAAAAAAAGGATAAAAGAAAAAAAAAGATAAAAAGAAAAAAAGGGGGGAGGGGGAAGGGAGAGAGAGGAGGAAAAAAAAAGGGGGAAAACCAGGGGAAAAATCAAAAACAATGAAAAAAAAATAAAAAGGAATGAAAGACAAAAGAGAAAAGGGGGGAAGGCAAAAAAAAAGGAGAAAAAGGTGAAAAATTGAGAAAAAGGGGGGAAAAGGGGGAAAAACAGAGGAAAAGAGGGAGAAAGGGAGGGAAAGGAAAAATGGGAAAAAAAGGAAAGGGGGGAGGAAGAATGGGGAGAAGGGGATGATGAGGGAAAAAGAAGAAAAAAGGAGAAAGGAGAAGGGGGGGGAGGAGAGAGAGAATTTTCTTCACTGAGGGAAGCACTGGAACAAGCTTCCAAGGAAGCAGTCATGGCCCAAGTATGTCGCTGTTCTTAGATATCTGGTTTCTTTTAGGTTGCCCTGTGTGGAGTCAGAAGTTGGACTCAGTGATCCTCATGCGTCCCTTCCAACTCAGGATATTCTACGATTCTAAGGAGTGGTACTAAAACTCAATTCAACTTATTTACAGTACTTGCAGGACAGGATCTCAAAATACCATGCAAATTACACACGCTAACATTTGATGAAAGAAATACACGTTTATCCTACCATATTTTTTCTCATTAGTTGTTTTGTAAAAGAGTATTAAATTAAATCAAGGACTGATGCCGTAACTACCAGCAATAAAACAGTGTCAGACCTACCAATTCTTGCTTCTGGGGCGGGGAATATGTTATGCCACACACTGTGGAAGGCAGTGATGTAGAAGACAGGCGGGGAAGGGATACAGAAAACATTACCTCCATTTCACAGGTTCAGAAGAGAAACACAAGAAAACTACAAGCAACACCCGAAGTCACTTGTGCACTGGACTGAGCTGGGGGTATAGCACAAAAGCAGCAGCATTTTGATCTGCTCCAGCACGGCATTTCAAGGAAGCAGGAGAGAAGCTATGTGCAGATGTCTCTGTGCTGTTACTGACACAACACTGCCATTTTAACTTGTAGGGATTCTGCAGGAACAAAGACTTCCTGCCTTCTGTCATAACTGCCTGGAGCATCTCCTGACCTTTTCTTTTTCCCCTCCCATTTTTCCAGGTGATTAAACAGTGCAGTCAGAAAGCATGACTATAATGCCAAGAAGCCAGCAATTTTAACACCACAAAAGGATAATTATGCAATACTTCAGGCCATATTAGTTTCAGTATGGACTGACCCTCAGCTGGGGATGACAGTGCCAACGGTACCCAGCACAATGACTGACAGAACTGGGACATGGCAAATTGCACTTTCGAAGCCCGGAGGTGAATGAGAGCTAGGGGATATGCTTTCCATTAAAAAAACATGTACTATATTCTTAGAACAAGGGATAAAGGAGGACAGCACACGAGTACTTCCCTTCTAAACCATTTTACTTGAAACCTTTTCCATCCTCCTCATTCTCCTTTGCTAGTCTGTAAGAGATGGTTCTCTGTACTACTTGGCATACCATTACATATATTCTTACACTATACTACAGATTTGTTCTAAATTAAAGAGATTTTCCTACCTGCAAAAGTCAAGTTAATTGAAAGAACAGGTTAAAGTGTGGTATCTGTCAATGGGTGAGTAAAGACTGCTTTTCCTCCCCTCAAATCAGAGCTGCAACTGAGCCTCAGCACATTACTGCTGTATTAGAGGTCTCAAGTATCACACCTGTAAATGCACAATCAAGGCACTCAAGCATACACAATTCTGACTCCCTGTCAAATCTTAGCTCGTATCTTCGCTACCTGTGTGGTTTGTAACATTCCCAGCCTGTACATGCCTGGTGCTGAATGTGAGCAATCAGGGCACTGCAGGAAAGATCCTGAATGGGGAAGAAGCTAGGGTTAGCCAGAAGTAAACATGCAGTATAGACATTTACGTTGTCCCACAGGTTTTCGACCTGGCCAGAAAACAACCTGCATTCCATTTCTCTGTTTCAGGATGTTTCTGTATTTTTGCTAGTTACTACTTAGCTTTAAAAGATGACTAAAAAAATAGTTGCTTCTGTTTCCACAGGTCCCAGGTACTCTGCGCTCTCTTCTCTGCTGTGGTGTGGCTTCCCCAGGAAATATTCCCATATAGGATATCCAGTGGCCTAAGGCACAGAGCCTTCTCCTGGGAAGGGAGCTTGAACCCATCCAAAGCAGGAACTGAACGCAGCTCAACATAGCTCACTTTCCAGGACTTATGGTAAGTAACCACTATTACAAAGGCAGGTACATTTATTCATCCCCTTACAAAGTCCAAGACAAGCTCCTGCTTACAAGAGATCATTTATCTACCAAAGGGAATAGGAAATTCTCTCCTTTAGTCTTGTGTGGTCCCCTCAGGAGATAGATACTTCACATTTTCAACTGCCACCCAGCTTTCACCAGGCACTGTAGATGTGGCAGCAACACGTGCAATTGAGGGCCTGTGTCTTCACTCCAGGAAACAAGGATTTGATAACTCAAACTCTCTTCTTCTGTCATTATAACGTATCAGAGTCCTGAAGGCATAATTCAACTCTGAGTTGCAGAATCCTGGTGACTCAGCCTGTGTATTGTAAAACTACTTTCCCATTTCTGTGCTTGATTTAAAAAAAATCAGTACTCATTTCAGCTCATGCTGACAGCCGATACTGTAACACTAAACTAACATTTTTACTTTCAGAGTGTGCTTTGAATAGAGTAGCCTCGATTTACAAATTATTTTAACAGTTCATTTCCTAAAAATAACTAAATCCCACTCTCCAAACATTACACCCATACGCAAGCTGACTCACAGCATGAAGTTTCACTGAAGCCATAGCATGGTCACAGCAAATTCAATGTAAAAGTAACAATCTCTATCTACAGAGAGACCACCCTCAGTGAAAGAAAAATCACCAAACCCTACACAATAAAAACAGGAAAAAAACCTTGGAGGATTATCCAACAATCAGCCTAAAAGCACAGGCAGGCAGTCTGGAGAAGGGATTTTAATGTCTTTACTTCTTGAATGGCTCTACAAAATTCTATAGGAGGGATGGAATTTTCTATTCAATTACACAGGGAGACTTAAAATATATAAAGGTAATTACAAAACTTCTGTTGGATTTTGCTTACAGCATGGTCAAAAGAGGCTATGATTCAACTGAGATTAGAATTTTAGACATGCTTTTACATGTTTTCAGTGTTGCTCCCTGCAAAACCAGCCTGTATAGATCAGGTTATTTACAGATTATGTGCCTGGAAACAGAGAGGTTAAAATATGAAACACATTAAAAAATCTGGGATTAATTTTGCAACTTTTGCTAAGAGATTTAGTAACACACAAGTAGCCCAACATCTATAGATCTGCCTGTAATTACTACTTTCTATTACAACGTTCAAACTACTGCCACATGTGCTTCCATTGATTCATGACAATGGAAATGTCACTGGATCAGTAATGTTAAATGCCATTTTCAGAGCAGCAAATACAAGTTTTGAAGTGACCAATGAAATGGAGCAATTATGTAGTTTAGTATTTGCTTTACGCTCTTTGACAGAACTGCTACAAATTCCTTTAAGCACTATAAAATGGTAAGTGCATAAGATGTAAGTTAATTTAAACCTGCTTTGCCATAATTATGTGTCGTGGTTTAAAACGACATTATGTTATGCAGTTGACAAAGTTTACATATAATCAATGGCATAGAGGTGCCAGAGTAAAATCTTAAATAGTCACTACATAAAATAACACTTTAAAATATGAGTTATACACTGTAAGAATTCTAGTTTATCAATAATTATGTATTTCAAAAGAGCAGGTTGACAAAGTATTTTCTTTAATACATTTCTTGCCTCCTACAGCCAGGAGATTGAGTGCAGAAGAAGCAGTCAGGATTGAAGTGTCAACAAAGGCATCAGGTGCTGCTGATACCTCTTCTACACTACCGTCCCTGAGCACCACAACAGAACCAGGAATTATCTGGACTCCAAAGTTTCCTGGTAAAGACAGGTTTGAAGAGGCATAGCCACTTCCCTTCATGATAAAAATAAATGCTGATACATTCTAGCATCAAATAAGCCTGTAAGATTAGAATTACATAGTGTTAAGCTATTTTATTCTAGTTATACAGTCCTTTGGCCACATCACATTCAACTGTTCATTTAGCCTAGCACAGATCTCAATTAATTAATCCACAGGGTTTCTTTCCAAAAACAGTTTTAATGCAGTGCTAATGAAGACCACTTAGTTAATCTTCTGCCCCTTCATTTAAAAAGTGATTTTAAACGTAATTCAAAGAGCACTTTGATACTAACAGCTCACTGCAAAGACTTCCACTGAGAAGAAAACAGTAAGGTAAAAAGCCCCACACCCTCTACCCTCATGCACACAGAAAAGATACAAAGACATGACAAATAAAGATTTGTAAGACATTTTACTTGTAGAAAAACATCATTGTACCATAATTTCACAATAAAAAGGTAAAATCTGTTTGGTGTTACACAGACATGGTGTATCAGTGTATCATGGTGTACCAACAGGTAAAACAAACTGTAGTACTTCATATGAAAGGGATGAGATACACTGCTGGATTTAGCCACTAAGCCCTGGTGCCTCTTTGCGGATACTTTCTTAATTACAGGTCCTCTCTGCTACATACAGCATCTTCTGGAATACAAAAACTGGGAGTGTTGAAAGATACTTAAATTTATCTGGAAAGCTCAAAGCCAGAACCAGTTTCTCACTACGTAATAATAGCTCTACCAGATCATTGAAACAAATGGCACCTTGTATGTAAACTATCTGTCCCATCATCCTGCTCTCCCCTTATATAAAAAAAAAGACAAAAATTATCTTGATAGAGAAAATTGTTTCATCTTCTTGCTTCTGTATTCATGCAACTTCAGTATCAGATTTCTTTATTCAGATACTAAACTTTAAAATGAACAGCTACTTATCGTGGGTCTTTTCCACCATCTTCAGTGCTAATCTTCCAACCATTAGCAAACTGTTAAGGGGGGGGGGGGGGGGGTGGGGTGGGAAACACAGAATTTAGTAATAATAATAACAATAATAACAACAATAATATCAATTCATTTTCAAATACTTCCCATGTAACTGCTGCATGAAAACAAATTTCACAAAATATGATTCACTCCATCTCTGTTTAATTAAGCAAATAAAAAATTACACATAGGAGATTAAAGAAAAAAAAAAGTATACTGTATTGTACCTGACACCAGCAATTAGCCCTGCAGGCATGAATTTTCCAGAGTTGTAAAATCTTGTTCCCATGACGGCAGTCAGTGTTCCAGATGTAACTTAAATGAGAGATTATAGAGTACAGTCAGGCAGAGATGCATGTGTGTGAGAGAGATGGTACAATTCAGAACTAACAGAATAGAGAGAAGAAATGAAAGGGGGTTGTTTCATGCGATAGACTAAGAGTCAAACTTTGCAACGCCTCAATACATGAAGAATAAATATTCTGAATCAAGTTCTAGCAGACAGTGCACTCCATATGCTTCTGCACACGCTTCTCAAGTTTCTTTGTCAAAACATACCTCTTTGGAGACTAGAAAAAAAATCTATGCTAGATTCCTCTGGAACCTACTCCTTCCCTCTGCACAGGTGAGCCACTAAACATGTGCACATAATTCCCTCACTTTTCATAAAAGGGAGACAGCATTTATGTGTCTAACTTGCAGTAATATTCAGAGAATTAACTGATTTACACTTGCAGAAGACTTCAAAAGGGAAATGAGCTATGTAAGTGCTAAACTTTACCAATCCATTTCAGCCCTGCTAGACCTTCCACTAAGATCAGAGTTAAACATATCCTGACTACTTGACGGAGACACAGAGACGGGTAGTTTCCCTGAGTCAGTAAAACAGAAACCGCAATCCCTGGAATGCAGGATCTCAAAGAAACACTGAATACTAAGAAAACTACAGGCAAAACTTAGCAATGCAATCCTTAGTCTTAGCACACATCTGCTACCCAGTGGTAACAACTACACACAACATGCTGCTCCAACCACATCTGCAATTGCTTCTGCGTAGTGACTGGTCCTCCAGGACCCAGCTCATATCAAATCCCAATCATGGCATCCTTCCTCCCTAACACCACCCTAAATACTCTCATTGACATCTAGCAATCTCATATAAGGAGATATGCAAGAGATTAGGACAAGAAAGAACTAAAATATTTCAGTATTCAAATGCCTCAACCTCTAATCAGTAGCCAGTCTTCATATACACACTTCACTACATGTAATTTTGTCTGAAACAGAATACACCTTCTCATAAAACTTTAAGCACAAAAAGGACAAAGACTCCATATACTACTGAATTACAGAAATGTTTCTGACTGTCTCACATTTGGGAAAATACTTTCTCACTCTTCTTAAGCTTGCTGTATCCACACAGTTTACTCCAATTATTTAGGCTTGATCATGCACAGCTTTTGACCTATCTAATAGATGTGGAAGTGGATTGCACTGCAGACAATGCTGAAGTGGAGAGAAATGCTGGGCCTTTTGCTTTCACTTCTGACTTTCACATGTCAAAGAGCTAGACACTGTGTCACTGCTTCAGTGAACAAATGCTATAGTCTGTGGCAACTCTCCAAGCACTAAGCAGTGACTCTCCGTATTTAGCTTCTCCAAGTCAGGGAGAAAGGAAGCTCCAGTTCCAAGAAGGAGGAAGAATAAATGGCATTACTGAAGCTTGCTTCTGTTACATCTCCCCAGGCATGCAACACATTTGTAATTCCACATATCTGTCAAACAAAAATAAGCCAATCACAGTCTCTGCCATTTTCAACAATAACAAAATAACCTGCTTAGGGGTATGGGCAATCTGCAGGAGAATCACACTTCCTGAACTGAAATGCTCCACCCTCCTGCAGAATGTTGAAAGTAGGATCCAGCCAAAAAGAGGACACACAAAGGTCAGACATCAATTTACTAGCACTTCCTTTGTGCTGTGATCTTTCAAACATGCCAGTATGAGACAGATGCATGGTGGCAGCCACTAATTCAGCAAAGTCTGGGGATTGAAACATAGCTAGTGCTAGAAAACTGCCACGCACTGATATCTTCTATAGACCGTGAATGGAGAGGATACTACTAACACACTGGCCAGAGATACAGCAGCCTAACAAGGGTCAGGCACCAGCTGAGCTACAGGAACTTCCTACATGTATTTTCTCAGCTCACTTTAATTGCAAGGTACTCTACTCATTGGTGAACAAGAAAAGTTCAAGTCATGTTATTTTGCAACTGGCATGAGCTTTAGACACATACAGGTTAAAGTGACAGATGATAATCTGTCCTAACTTAATCGCAACCCTGAGTTCTATATGGTAAATTGCAGAAAGACAAAATTTAGGAGATTCACACTGTACTACATACAAGTTTTTAAACACAAAATGCTTATTTGCTTTACTTTGCTAAAGGATGTTAAACAGTGGTATTTGGTTTGACTGTCGCTTTTAAACTGCCTAAGTTTCACTTCATCCTAGCACACATTTTCCTTCATAATCTGTAGGTTTTCTGACATTCAGAAGACAAACTAATGATAAATAACAACTATTTCCTCTTCTGTTTTTCTGTAAAAAAAGGAACAAAAACGTCAGTTTGAACTATCACCCAAAGCACTGTATACTTCTTGCAAAAGGGATGCAGTAACATAGTGAGAAATCACTGAGCAAGACACACCAAGACTAGCAGTTTTTAATACACATTCACAAGATATGCTTTAAAAAAATAAATAACACTAACAGCTTACACTCCAGAGAGAGCAGCCGAATTTGGCCACTAATGGAGATTTTTCACAAACCCACAAGTTTAAAGATTGGATTGAAACGAGATTTCTAACACCATCAGTTTAACTCTTCTGAAAATGCTTTTATGTACTCATTTTATGTTAGGATAAATATCATCCCTTCTAATTAAAATTTTTAAACAACTTACTGAGAGAAATCCAAACATTATTTGGATTCTGTGAGAGCTGATAGGCACCCAGTCCAGCCAAACTCCCAAACAAAAGGCCAGCAGCTAGTGATGGGACACTACCTGAATGAGATAATGCATTTATTAGAAGCTTAGAAATAAACTTGCTCATCAGCTTATTTGTTTAGTAAACCACCAACATTAACAGAAAAACAAAAAATTGCATTCATTGTAATAAAGCAGATTAGAGGGTGTTTTTTTCTTTTAAAATATTAAGACCATGCTGATCTGCACCCAGAAACATGTGCAAATACTCTTTCATAAGATACAAATAGCATTAGTATTTAATTCTTTAACAGCAAAGCCATTAATACGTCTATGATGGAAAGAACAGTGAGAAAAGCAGAAGAATCAGTGTTTGTGCACTGAAATGTGTTGTTTCAACACAGCAATACCAGAATTTCTTGAGAGGCAGTAAAGTAGATGGATTAAATATTAAGGGGTTCAGATCAGAAAAAAAGGCACGTGGACTGAAGTGGGCAGGAGGGCATGCAGACAAAAAGCGTTGCTCAAGAGTGGAGTTGAATGAGAGAGGTCATAGCTCTTAAATACACCTGAGATCTGATCCAAAGGTAACCGCAGATTTTAGAAGAATGCTCCCTGGACTCATCTAAACTCTGGATCAAGTCCTCAGTATAAATGATAATCCCAAGATACAAGAAGATAAAGGATACTACATCCAAGTTGGTGATTTAAAGATCACGTCAAGTAATGAAGGGGTATGACCACTGTGAGTGGTAAATGCCCCCAATAAGGCTAATGAAAAATTCAAGACTTTATGCTATTGGGGGTGGTTCTTTATATACTCCATTTTCCAGGTCACCTTCAAAAGAGTCAAGATTGCAAAGCTAAGCTGATAAAGATCTCCTCTCAGTGTTACAGGAGGATTGCATATTGCAACCAGAAAGTAAACATTTTTCAGTGGTCAACAAAGTAACTGTGACATTGCTTCAGATCCTGTTTTTTGTATGAAAACTAAAGAGTTAAAGATGACAGAAAGCGCCATATATTCTTGTACATTACAAGATGCACACTCTAGTAAGAGGCTGTTCTGCACAGAATACAGTTTAGCAACCAACATGTTATACCTACAGTTCTTTCCACAAGCATGGGAGCCAAGAAATAGCCATCATACCCTTGAATTTTATCTCAAGGCATTGTTTAAGCAGTTATGACATACACACTCTAATAGGACAACCACATCACCTTTGGCTCAGGAAGTTCCTGAGTCTCAAAACACTGAGACACAGAGAACTGACTAAATGAAGAGAGGAAAATCAATCAGTCTTTATTTGCCCTGTTCTTTTATTCTTCCCAAGGCACCTACTGCTGACCACCATCTGTATGGGTAAACAGACTTTCTGATGAAAGAATGCATCACCGCCTTAACTTTATGGATGAAGGTTCCAATTTTTTGGTGGTTTCTCCAAGTTATTACTAGGGAAATGACAGTTGTGGGTTTGAATTTTGTTGTTTAATCCCTTCAGGTCATGATAAAAGTTCTTGCTCCCCCTTCAAAAATCCTGTGATCCAGATACCCTCACATCGACATGGCCTTGTCCTCCCGTATGGGACGAGATAATAAGGGATTTTCAAAGCTGAAAAGGCAGTATTGTAGCAGGGATGAATCCACAGTTCTGTCTGGAGGAGGGAAAACTCGGAAAAGGGACAGGAAAGAAAAGCAGTAGGCCAGAGGGTAATCTTATGATGCAGAGTCCAGAAAAGGAACCAGTTTAAGGATCGATTTGCATTGTTCAGGATCCTTCTGTAAATTGCAGTATACTGTTGCTATCAAACATTAAAATGTGAACAAATCTCTAAGGGAAAAAAAAAAAAAAGGTATTTTAAGCCATACAGAGCATTTATAATAAAAAGTTTATATTTAAAGTAACCGGGGAAAAAAGCCTTTCTGAAGCAAATTTATGTCAGCTCTCCCAAAGAGCACAATGCAGAGGCAGGACAGGAGCATCTACCAGAAAGCAGACTCTTGTCTTATCAGCCAAAAGCAACAGCTCAACCCAAAAAGCACCACACCCCAACAACAGCAAGATAGCAGCACATGGCACAAACCGATAAGGTTTACATCTGCGTTAACTTCGAGATAGGACGCCTTGGTAAAAAGCCGCCCAGCTCACACAAAGTTACTGGGGGAGTTGAGGGGAGGAAGGAGAGGGAGATACAAGCACCTTCCCACACCGTACCTGCTTTTGCATAGCCAATGACCCCTCCTGATGCCACCAGAGCGGCATAGCCAAAGCCGAGCCAGTCCACTACCATGCCGAAAACTGGAAAAGAAGTTAGTGTGAGGATCAGTATCCCAAAGCCCAAAACACAGCGTTTTGCCACAGGGACTTTTCCACGCGCAAGGCCTACTTAAAGCCTGAGCCCTAAACCGAGCTCAAGAGCTGAAACCCGATTTGTTGGGAACGCAGCCCTGGGGATAGCGGGGCGCGATGAGTCTCTCCGCCCTACTGCGGAGGGTACGCGGACAAAACTCACCCGTCCGGCCACAGCGCTCCACAGCAAACGGGGGCGGAGCGGGCTGCGGAAGGGGAAGCGAGGGAGCAGCGCACCGCCCAAAGCTTCCCTTTTCCGACTGTTCTGAAACCAGCGGCGGAATAATCAGCAAACTGCAGCGGGGAAAGTGCGTACCGCTCCTTGGGGTGCGGAGGAGAAAGCCTTGGCGCCTTCTCACCTACCTACGGATGACTCCCCCTGCCGGGGTATCGGGGATGCCCGAGCAAGCCCCAGTGCCTACAAAAAAAGAGGAGAGATCTCAGTGCAGACGAGGTTTTGTCTTGTTTATTCAGTGAGGGGCAAAGCTCCCTCCTAACTGCATTCGTGTATACCCAATCTGTCCTAGTCGTGTACCGGAGTGTGGTACAGCTGAGAATTCGGGGTTGGGTTTTGGACTAGCATGAGCTACCACTGTGGGCTGCTGCTAGCTTTGATCAGTAATTTCAGTATAGCCCTTTCATGCAAGATTTCTATAATATTCAAATTATAACCACAGCTAGTGCCTTTTTTTTTCCCCCTTTTTCCCCCCCTTTTTTTTTTCTGGAAAAAATAGAGATGTTTACAATGGTCTACAAAGATAAACACTGTTTTTTTTTTTCCACGTGCTGGAACTGCTTTCTCCAAGTAAATTGTTATGCATGACGTATTCTGTTTGGTTATGCAATTACCTCCCAGGAACATTTCACCATACAGAAAGAAAGCACTCCTTAAGCCAAGGCCCGAAGCTGAGGGGCTTCAGCTTTTTGTAACAGAAGGCACAGAACATCAGAGGCCTGTGCTTCCTGCAAAACGCAGCACTGACTCCCTCCCCCCTCCCCCCCGTTTCTATACTGGGCATGATGTTCTGTGGTATGGGATACCCCTTCGGCTAGTTTGATTCAAGTGTCCTGTTTCTGCTTCCTCCTGGCTTCTTGTGCCCCTCCTCATTAGCAGAACATGAGACTGAAAAGCCCTTGATCAGGGTAAGTGCTACTTAGCAACAACTAAAACACTGGTGTGTTACCAGCATTGTTCTCATACTAAAGCCAAAACATAGCCCAGCACCAGCTAGGAAGGAGAAAAACAACTGTTACAGCTAAACCCAGGACAGTTCTGTAGCTGCATTTCAGATTTTCTCATCTCTATGAATCAGCCTAATGGTCAAAAAGTGAGGAACAGTTTAATTCCCTTGTTGGCTTAAGTGATTTAGATACAGATCCCCTATCTCCCTGAAAAATGCCCCAACGAATACAGATCTAAACTATCCTGGATGGGGTTTCCCTTTCTGTTAAAGCTTTGTAATGGCCCTGAGGTTCAAGTTTCACTAGGCTCTGCTTTGTAATCCAGCACTGGGGATCCCCCAAGAGGGGAAGCAAGAAAACTGGAAGAAACCCACAGCTGCTGGAGCTGCTGAACTCACCTAGGGCCCAGATGAGATGCTGCTGTTTCTTGCAGCCATAGCTTTCCATCTTCTCTACCAGTGTCATGCATACTTATCTTTTCTGACACAGGAAGAGCTTTCTCACCACTGACATCTCTTGCTCTGCACTGCTGCCTCCCCTCTATTATTCCAAGCAGTTCCTGAAAACTACAAAGGAAAATGGACTGCAAATGAAGATGTTTACAAAGAAATAACAACAAAAATTGCCAAGTACTGGTTAATAGCTGAGCATTCACTCAAGGTATAGGAAATAGTTTACCCTGTCTCCAGATTTGGCTTAATCTTTTTTTTTTTCCGATTTTCTCTATCTTTTCTCTTGTTGCACAAGTAAGGAGGAACAGATTATTACTAAAGTAAATCAGAATAAAGTATAATTCTAATTACTCGTTGAAAACAGAAGAAATAATGACTACTCTGGTAGCGTGGAAAACAACATTAAAATGCCTTACTTTAAAAGAAACAAAGAGAACATTTAGTACAGCTATTTGACCTTGTTCTCTCCAGCTCAACTTTGTTTTTCCCACTGTATATTTGTAATAAGATAGTAACTGTAATAAGGGTAAAACTCTGTTCCCTTTGTTTAAGTGTAAAACAGACAGGTAACATTTTATCAGCATGGCAAACATTTCAAATGTCAGATATGTCTGTTTTTTTTTTAAGAGTGTAACTCAGATCAAGGACTGGAAAAAATACTATGAGAAAGAGGAACAGAAGGTAAAACCCAAGTGATATAAACTCTTCCACCTAAAACAGGTACCATATTCTGAATAAAAGATTTCAATCATGTGAACCATGGGTACCAAGACTTTAAAAAATATTAAATGCATGAAGTACGGATACAGTAAAAAACCCATTTTGCTTATAAACTCTGGAAGTTCATGTCAAGAACTAGAAAATACAATTTTCTGTGAATATATGAATGTATGTACAAATGAAATGTGATTGTAATAGTTTACCTAAATTTAAGAAGTTCTTTCTTACTGTAGGAGAACAATGCCTAACAAAGGCAGATCATATGTTGAGTCAAATGAACAGTAAGTTTTTAAACACCAAAATGAAAACATTTATGTGTTTTTAATATGCATTTAAGTGAGACAGATGCAGCATTTCTTATCATTTTACCTGGATTTTCCAGACCCAGTTAAAAAGTGTATGCTATTGTTAACAGGAATATATAAACATTACATATTACGAATTTATTTTTGCCTCATTCACTTAGGAAAAGTTGCGGTGTTTTTTTTGCTACTTCCCAGGATGATTAGGCAATTTATTAGGGTAAAAACATTCATTACTTTTAATCAACAGATCAGTTCAGAGGTATATGTATTGCCACAGGTTTATATCCTTGTAAAAACTACAGCAACACCAGCATCTACTTTTTGTCTGAGAAAATGCCTTCATGCTGAGCTATTCCATTTCTTTTTCTTCTTTTGCAGTGGAGCTTCCAATTTTTGCTTCTCTGGAACAATTTTTCTTTTTCTTTTTGCTGTTTTACCACTTTTATCAGTCCAACAACCTTCGTTTTTCCTGACTATGGATGGTTTTTCATCTTCATTTGCTGAAAAAAAAAAAAAGACAACAAATTATTCACACTGATACTTATGTCCAGTCTGTATAGTCTAAAATGGCACAGACATATTTGTATCTTATTTTATAAAAGGGGTTATGATTTTTTTATTTAGAGTGAAATGTGCAATTTATGCTAGCCTTGTCTGTGATATGAAAATATCTAGAGATCATGTAAATAGATTACAATACAGAAAAACAACAGCAAAAATCCAACTGCGCAAGACTTCCTAAGTTTCACTCACCTACCCTCAGACCTAGGTAAAAAAAATAGGCCTCAGACCATTTTTTTTTAATAGGAAAACAAGACATGCACTTCTATCAAACTATTTCTTCTTTTCTTATCATTCTCAAAAGCTTCACAGTAGCTTCCACAGTAAATTATTCCAGTAAAGAAAACAAAACTTTCATATAATAAAAGTAAAAAGAAGTTTATGTCCTCCATCATACATGAGATGGTATCAGATTGGTAAGGGTATCTATATCACTTGCCGGTGTCTTATCCCCAGTTCTTCAAGATACCAAAACTTTTTCCAATGCATACACTAAAACCGTCCCACTTAGTATATTCCATTCCACAGTCATATCAGCAATTGAAAAAACATGCAGTTCCCTTACCTTGAGACAATGTTGCAACCTTATCAGAGTTTTCTTTAATTTCTGAAGCTTGGTCAAGCCAGACTGCAAGACAAGTCAGCCTAGCTTTGCTATTGACTTCACACAGTAAAGATGGTACATCTTTAATCTGAATATAGAAAAAAAAGATTAATTAAATATTATTTTTGTTTAAATTTACTGAAGCATTGAAAGTGAGAAAGTTTCTTACTGCCCACCTTCCGCTTCCTTTCTGGTGCCTAACAATGTTTAGAACTAGAGACTGCATACCAGTTAATGGTCACATTGTTATACTCTTATTCCTGATACCTGTGTTAGTGGTGGTTTTACAGACAAAAATACCAATGGCTTTAAGAACATATTTTGATATGCAAGCTCAATGGTTAAGTTTAACATGAGGAATAACTAGCATGGTTACAGACATTCCCCCCCCCCCCCAAAAAAAAAAAAAGAAATTAATGGTTTCGTAAGTTTCTCTAGAGTAATAAGGGTTTATTTTGTACAGCTAAAAAAATTTGAATTAAGTTACTGCATCAGATTTCTCCCTTAAAAAGGCAAGGCTGCTGATCAAAAGTAATCTCTTCAGAGTGTGTTTCAAATTGGTTAATTGCAGTTTTATCAGTCAGCTCTGCAAAATACTTGAACAAATATCAGACATCGGGATAAAGTGTCACAAACGTGCAACATAACAGCATCAGCCTATCAGAAACTACTTGCATTAGGATATTCTACTTCACAGAGCTGAACAGAGCCCACATTTATATAAAGTTTTAAAAAATTTTGCTTGCTCAGGAAGAAAATAACACATTTGGGAAAAATAAGAACGGACAAATTCAGATTAAGATATATAAAGTGTATAAATGCTGTGAGGTATTAATTTGAACTATTGAAGATACTTACAGTGAAATAGAGTAGATCCTTTATTACACAGCAGTACATTAAAAAAAATCTAATTGTGATTTTAAAAGTCAAGCCCAGAGCAAACAATAAACATGGGAAACGTTAAAGATAAGACAAGATTCCTTATTGAACTGGGCTACTCAGAACTGTTTGAAAATACAGGAAATGAAAGTATGCAGTACATTAATCTGATTTTTCAAAAGGACAACCTTTGCCCCCTACATGAACAACCACACCCCTTCAACCCCCCAGAGTTTTAAAAGAGCAGCAGCAGTCATCAACATTACAAAAATTCACAGCAGTCCTCAGAACATAATGTAACTGATTACATAGGCATTACATCTGGCCAGGCAGGTCTGAAGGGAAGCATGACTTAGAAAAACAGGAGACGAGATCTCTGTAATATCATCAGATTTCATAGTTTGTTTTAAAAAATTACAATAGAGAAATATGCAAGTGCATAAAAATATGTGCATATACATACACATCTCTACTGAACATAACCTGAAGGAAGATCAGAACATCCAGATTTCAAGCAAAATTTCCTCAGGGACTCAAAATTAATCTTTATGACAGAACTGTCTGCAATTTTGGTTGTCTAATATTTTTCCATAAATGTAACAAGCAGTTAAATAGACCAACCTTATTAAGATCCAGATTCCACATTTTAATGTAACCATCACTGCATGCAGTAACAATAATGTGCTGTCCTTCTCTTTCAAAACTATAGATATCTTTTATTCTGTGAAGAAAATGTAGTACTTTGTTACTTTATAGCATGGCAGCTCAGTTCAGAACAGAAATCTGACAGAAATTAAGAAGACAGGTATGCAACAGTTTAAAAATCAGTTTGAACAGAAACCCCATGAACAACAGGCAGAAACAGTAATCTGTTTTGATGGCTCTCATTTACAGTGGGAATGCCTGTCTTTGCTAGGCTTGTCAGGATTCAATTCAGAACACTAAAACTTCTAAGCGCACACCATTAACGACATCAATATATTTTAGCTAATGCTTTTGTGTTTCGATAAACTAGAAGCAGCATTTGGACAAATATACTGTGTTCAGTAACAACAGAGAATATGTGATTACCCTCCTATTGTCTGAAAGAAGTACAAGTGGTTTGTTTTATTTAAGCATTAGTAAGACTGGTTAAACATCCTTTAGATGGTCTTGCAGGAACATACTGGTACCTAGTTTCAGAAATGCAAAGACCACACACACAGAAGTCTGCAACTCATAAATTTAGAACTGTAGTATTTCTAATTATATAGCTTATTCTTTTGCAACTTGCAAGGGCAGCACAGTACTCCTGCTCATACTAAAAGCAGACAAGTCTGTCCTAAATTTAATACATAAATTAATGTTCTACACTAAAACAATACCAAAAGTAAAATATGCTGAACATTGTAAGTCACTGAACTTTACTGAGTACTCAGCATTGCTATAAATATTTAAATAGTAAACAAATACAGAATACCTGTTTTCATGAGCTTTGAATTCACACAGGCATTTCTGAGAGTCACAGCTGTAGAACCTTATAATTTCATCACCTCCAGCTATGGCAAGAATAGAATCCTTGGAATGGGGTGAAAAAGAAGCAATTAATTTCATATGCTTCAAACCAGCTAATTTCCCATCACCTTTCTGTTTTCAACTTACTGTAATAAATCTAAGTGAAGAAATTCTCTTCTCTGTTGTGATAGTGCCAGTGATTGAAGCTGTGTCAAGTTTGTAGATATCCACTTTATTTGTTATCACAGTCACGTACTTCTCTCCATCAGGGGACCATTTAATTATGTGGGCATCTGTACATATTGATACATCAGTATACACATGTACACAGGCTTTTTGCACTTAATATTGCATGAAAATCTAAAAGTAAGAAATTTTAGAACCTGCTAGACACTGTTTTCTACCTAAGCCTGAGAAAAATTCAGGGGAAAAAAAATAACAACTAAAAAAAATAAAACAACTAAAACAATGCTCTTCAATGTTTATTTCTGATTATCAGAAGTGTATTAAGAACAAAACGCATTTATGTAAGTGTCCTGACATAAAATTTCAAGCAATAAAAACATTTACTTTAGTGTTACTGTGTTTTCCTTTCGGTAAATGGTTATTATTGAGGACATAAGTCATATATGCTTGCCTGCTCGTGCAAAAAAGACATTGTGGAAGTTGCTTGCAATTAACTGTCTTGTTGTTTATTCCAGTCTACTTTTCTTTACAAAAAAAAAACAGATCTAATTCTACTTTTTTAGTGGATTTAGACCAATCTACTCACTTTGCTTCAGGTTTTTGATAAAGGCTGATCGTCCTTCTACAAGATTCCAAGTTCTGAAAGACAACAGTAAATAAAGTGCATTCTGGTTAAAACAGCACAGTGAAACTGAACTGCTGTCTGCTGACATGAGGCATCCAAAGGAAGCTTTTAAGTATCTCTGTGCCTTCTTAATGCAAGAGAAAGTGATGACTTCACATATCACTTGCAGACTATAAGGTTGAATTTGTAATATTTATTTTAGAACCCACCATTAACAGTGCAGTGCAGAAAGGAGCCTAATACCAATTTGTGCTGTTAAAATAGCATTTTATATGTTTAAAACCCATATATAAAGCAACATATAAACACTCCAAGTGAAAAATTACTTTTCTTACACTAAGCAAAACCTGAGAGCTTTCAGAATAAACAAGTGTTCCAAAATGCACATATAATTACACATCTAAAAGTGACTATAAAGAGTCAGAGCACAAGAAGCTAGGAAAAGCAAGGACTGTTTTTAAAAGACTTAAAAATATTGCTGGTACCTAGAACATAAGAAGACAAAACAATGAATTTCTGAACTGTATGCTGTGCAAATACGGTTTATCAGTGTTGCAAAGTCTAGTCCCAAAACGGAATTGTTGCTTATAACAATTTACTACGAGTTACTGTACTACGACTCTCAGCATTCCTTCATCAGTTTCAACTCACCTTAATGTTTTATCTGTTCCTACTGACAAACATAATTTCCCAGAAGGATGGATAGAAAGAGATGTCACATGCCCCCTGATAAAACCAAAACAACGTGTTAGCCACATATACTCTTTACAAGGAAAATAAACATCAAAATTTATGTGAATAAGCAGAATTAGGAAACTCACTTATGTGCCTTAATGGATTTCAGGCACTCCCATCTTTTTGTGTTCCAGATACAAATTACCCCATCTTCAGCCCCACTCAGTAGATGTGCAGTACCATAGAACTCCAAACAAGTTACTGTGCCTAGAAATAAAAGCCAGTACTATTAACAATGTTGTACATACCGAACAGTTACCATACAGAGAACGAACGAATTAACAGACAAGCTTATAGCATCAAAACATGGCAGCTATTACCCCACCCTTAGGAAAATCTGCATTATTTCCTAACTATTTCTTCACAAACCCCCCAAACTTTCCTGTTATATTCAACCACTGATATGATTCAATATATCTATCAGCTGCCTGACAGCCAATACACATCTGAACTCTATCTGGTCTGTTCTCTGAAACAGCAGTGCTCAACCACTGTGGCACAGAGCTTCTATCAGTGGTAAGAAATGCTCCTAAAAAGCCCTGCTTTTGGCACACAGCTGAATTTATTGCACATGCTGCTTCCCATAAGCACCAGATTTATCATATGTGAGTTGAACACAGGTACCATGTTCAGTCTAGCTCTAAGTACTTTGGCTATCAGGAGAAAAAGGACAATCAACATTGAGTTACAAATGACAAAAACATGAGTGCTTTATTTTTTTTTGTTTGTTTGTTTGTTGTTTTGGTTTGTTTTGTTTTTTTTTTTAAATTATTGAAAGCAGCCCTGTGGAGAAAGACCTGGGGGTGTTGGTCGATGAGAAGCTCAACATGAGCCAGATTCAGTGTGCACTCACAGCCCAGAAAGCCAACTGTATCCTGGGCTGCACCAAAACAAGTGTCATCAGCAGGTTGAAGAAAGTGATTCGCCCCCTCTCCTCTGCTCTTGTGGGACCCCACTGCAGTACTGCATCCAGCTCTGAGGCCCCAACATAAGAGGGATGAGGACCTATTGAAGTGAGCCCTGAGGAGGGCCATGAAGATGATCAGAAGGCTGGAGCACCTCTGCTATGAAGACAGGCTGAGACAGTTGGGCTTGTTCAGCCTGGAGATGAAAAAGCTCCTGGCAGATCTTTTAGCGGCCTTCCAGTGTCTAAAGGGGGCCTAAAAGATATCTGGAGAGGGGCATTTTTTAAGGGCATGTAGTGACAGGACAAGGAAGAATGACTTTACACTGATAAAGGGAAGATTTAGATTAGATATTAGGGTGAAGCTCTTTACTATGAGGGTGGTGAGACACTGGAACATGTTGCCCAGAGAAGCTGTGGCTGCTCCACCCCAGGAAGTGTTCAAGGCCAGGTTGGATGGGGCTTTGAGCAAGCTGGTCTAGTGGAAGGTGTCCCTGCCCACGGCAGAAGGTTGGAACTGGATGATCTTTAAGGCCATTTCCAACCCAAACCGTTCTGTGATTCTATGATTTGGATGGCTATTAACTGACTACACAGCTGTAATTCAGGAGACACAAAGTGGGAAATGTACCAGGTTAACTCTTCTGGCAGCAGCATCGTCCTCTCACACACAAGCTCTCTTTTGTGTGGCTCATGTCACCCATCTGTGACAGGACAAGGACACTGGGAAAGATGGTTCTTGGGAGTAGGCATGGTCTAGATAGTGTCCTGACCAGACCAGAAATGACTTATGAGCCATTTGTGGGCCATAACTTCATAAACAGTTAAACCTAAAAATAATTGGAAGCCGCTATATTTGTGGAATCATACCCAAAATAATTTTTGGATTTTTATGCTCAAAAGCTTCCTTTGCTTGTATTGTCAGACTTTGATGGCTGCAACACCATCACTATTAAAGACATACTAAAAAAAAAAAAATAGACAATTTCCTTCTTCTGACAAGGGCCAGTTTTTCTGCTGTAAGTTTCTAACATCAATGTTTTTTATGAGGAGAAGCTCCCTTACCATTGTGCTGCAGCAGTGCCCCATGTTCTACCTTCTTTTTCATGTCATAGATTTGGATTGTCTCATCTTTGCTCCCAGTGACCACATATCTGTTATTCACAGCTACCGCTGACAACGAGGCAGTGTGTGCATGATGTGTAAAATCAGGGGCAACTGTCCAGGACTGTAAATGAACGACAAAATAAACATGTCTCTCTGAAGCTGAACTTCGACTTCATCATCCCATACTTTCATTTTGTTTCAAGCAAAACATAAAAAAAATGACGTGTAAAAGGCAAAGAAATTACACTTAGCTGTAAGTATAATGGCATTTTACTGAATTAATGTGCTCTTAGGAGATTAGTCTGAACAATTAAGAGTGCAAACTGCCTTCTGTAATGAGCGCTGGCCTTAGATGAAGCTGCATGTGAAAAAGGATCTCCACAGAGATAAATCTCTTGGACAAGGGAGGCGGATTCTTCCTATTTTCCACCATTGGAGGCTGGAGACACGCCTTCCACCTGACACCAGCCTCGCGAGGCACTGTGGCATCTATCCTCTGCACTGCTGTTTACTCCCAGCTCCGCGCTGAACGGCTGCGAAAAACGAGCTCAGACCGCAGCCCCCTGCGACCACGCGGCCGGTCGCTTCCCGCAGCTCCCCCGGGAGCCCTGTCCGCCTTCGGGCCCGAGCAGCAGGGTGCCCGTGGGCCGCTCCCACACCGGCGCCAGCAGCTAGGGGCCGAGCCTGCGGCTGCCAGAGCCTGCCCCGCCCCCGAGGCGCTTTAAAAGCGCGGCCTGCGCCCGGTCCCGCGGCCGCGCAGCAACGAGTCGGTGAGTACTTGGGTGCGTTCTCTCCCCTGCTCTTCCCCTCGGCCCTCAGAGTGGGTTGGCGGGCGGCCGTTAGGGTGCATCCGCTTCCCTCCCGTTCCCTCCGCTTCCCCCGCGTTACCTCGGCGGGTCGCACAGCGAACCCGAAGAGAACCTGCTCGTAACAGCCCGCTACCAGCTCCATTCCACCCCAACACGCGGCACTAGCTCGGGGTCCTGCCGCCGTCAGCCGCGGTCCGTCCGCCGCGCTGCCTGCGCCCGCGCCAGTTCTGGGCCCGTGACTAGAGGCCGGCAGCGCTCCGTCGAGGAACGTTCTGCGGCCTCCGGCAACCGTCGCGGAGGAGGAAGTGGTCGGGGGTGGCGGCGGCGTGGGCTCCGTGGGTCAGGCTCCGCTCAGGGCAGCCCAAGCGGGAGGTCCTCGCGGGGCGGAAGCGGGGCTCGGCCGCTGCTGATGGCGGCGCGGAGGATGAGAGGCGTTAGTGCTGGGATCGGCGGGTGGGGGAGCTGGGGTGTGAAGGGGCACATCGCGGTGACTGATGCCGGGCTGTGGGGGCAGCCGGCGGGAAAGGGAGCGCGAACCGATCCGCTGCGCGACGGGAGGAGGGAGCGGCATCCTCCCTCCCCGCGGGGCCTCAGCCATCGCCTCACGGGCGGCTGGGCCGCGGGCAGGGCGGGGAAGCCTGGCTAGGCCCGGCGGCTGTTGGGCCGAAGCGACCCCGCGCCCGGTGACTACCCACTCCCTTGGGGCGCAGCGTAAGGAGCGCCGTGGCCATCTCGTGGGGGCCCTGCGGGATTTGCCTTATTTAGTGTTTTTTTTTTTTTTTCTTCCGCTTCGTGTCTTATCGCGTAGCACAATATGGGGGAAGCGCGGGTGCTGCGGAGGACCGCGGCCGGGCGGGGCGCACTTCTTGTAGGGCGCCGTGGCTCGTCCCTTCCCGTCGTGCCGAGTGGCTGATAAAAATGCGTCATGCCATGATGCGGCCGTGGCCTGGGCTCGGCGGATCCCCGCTGCCCTGACCCGCATCCGCCTTCAGTGTGAGCGAAATTAACGTCGAGGGGGGTGGCTCGCCCTCTGCTTCGCTGAGTGGTGTGAGCACAGGCGATTTTATTTGCAAATGGCTTCATCTGCCTTTTTGGCAGTGCAAACGTAATAGATATAAGCGTGGAATAAATGGTCTGGTGAAACGCGTGTGTAGTCCAGTTAAAGAGGTGGTTGAATTCTGGAGATTAAAGCTGCCCTACTGCTTAAATGAAAATTAGATGTGATTGTAGCTATAGTTAAGGCAAATGGAAAAAACCCTAAGTTAATACATGCTGTCTTAACGACTTTTTAAATATTTTTGTATTTTAGTGAAAAGATCAAGAGGCAACCTTCAAGATCTGACAGGGAAAGAGCACAAAACTGCAATTTTCCATCGAAGTCCACAGTAACTGATTGAGAAACAGTTGCATCACTTGCCTTGAGATAGCCTGTTGCAATAAAAGGGCTTTGTAGTGTGTGCCATCTTCTGCTAAATCCACACAAGTAAAAAGTGGTAAGTTAAAAATATTATAAGCTTCTGGATTCAGACATTAATATTTCAGTGTTTAGAGCATGGAGGGTTTATGGTTCCTTTTATCAAAAAGTAATGCTTGACTTGGAGAAACATCACTATATGGATGTTTTTATTAATAATGACCTTCTTTGACAGGATGATGTTGCAGATGCTCAGGTAATGAGCACAGATAGGCTTAGTAAGAGGGCACATGCTAACTTCACTAGTATGTGCTTGTATTTAAGGGCTTGTTTCTACTTGACTGCTTTCTTGGGCTCAGAAAGAGTGCAGGGATGGAGTAATTATATGCATGGCTGCTCTAATTATGACATGGCTATCCTGTGTCAGGTCAGTTTAATCCATTTTCAGAGTAATGGAGGTAAAAAATGAGAAATGGTGAATGAACAGCTGTATATGGAAGTAGATGCAAAATATTTTGCAAATGAAACATTTCTGTATTGATTGATATGGGCTGGGTGACTAGGGTAAAAGGCTTAGAGGCTATAGGAATCAACAAAGAGGTATGTATGTCTTCAGGAAAGTGTATTTACTGGTTTAGTGATAGCAGTAAAAGGTTATTGCCAACTCACTGGTAGTGAGTGAAATGGAAGAGGCAAAAGAGAAGATGTACCTGAGAAAATGTGCAGAGAAAGATCACGTTTACCTGTACTGTGCCCTTTTGGTTTATTTCTTTTGTTCTTTAGCATGTAGAAGATACCACAGCTTGTTTTTAGCTGTGTAATTTGTGGTAAAAGTAAACCAACTTTTAATTTAGCTAAAAGGAAAAAAAACCCACCCGAAGGGCTGTACAAAATGTATTGAAGCCTCTATCTCTGATGCCTTGTTTTTAAACTATTTCATAATATGGATTTTCTGTGTTACTGTGTTATATGTAGGTATTTCAGAAGTAATGTTAAGTTGTAGGTGACTTAAAAGCTCTCTAATTTTCTAGTGCATTTGCCAGTGGGAAAACTTTGTGGACTATTAAATTTTAAGAAAATGAGGATGACTTCTAATCATAATCCCATTGGTCATATACTGTCTTCATTGCTGTTGCTTTAGCAGTGAAAAGTTAAAACTTGGAAATCTAAGTTCTGAATTAATAACATTAAAAACCTAAGGCAAGGTGAACATCTTTGCAAGTAATTTGTCTGAAGGTTCAGATTCTTCATCTACCTGTTCCTCTCCCATGTTTTTCAGCTGAAGAAGCTGAAACTGAACCTGTGCTGCCGTAGTCTTCAAGAAGGGCGGAAGACAGTTTGAGCCATGGCGAGCCAGGTAAGATCATTTGGTCAGAAATTCAGGCTTGCAGTGCCTAAATGGATTCCAGAACCATACTCAGAATTTCTAGTAACTGTAAAGCTGAAATAGCTAGCTTGCTCTGAGTTGGGCATTCTTTTAGTCCTGTGATTGCTTCTGGCAATGTAAGTGGTAGCTGTCCTTGGGACACCTACTTGCATCAGCTGAAGCAGGCTGGGGGCATAACATTAAGTTTTCCAGTTTGGATTACTTGAGCATGAGTTCTTCTGAAGGACCTTGTGCATAACGCTCTCTATATAAGATACACATAGAGGCGTTCTAGCGGAAGAACGTTAAAGCGTGCGTAAGTAAAAAAATGTTGCAAAACACCATTCTTATTTTTGGAAGTCTTTGTTCTTCAGAATCTTAAGCAAGGGAGACAACCTGTGTTAATATGGCTGTTGTCTCCCTTGTCTTTTCTGTAGTTGCCCCACTTCCTTTTTAAACTGTGTTTCTTTGGGTTTTGGTTTTTCTTCTTGTTTTTTTTTTTTTTTTTTTGGCAAGAGGTGCTTTTTTTTATGCCTCTTCCTGGCCTTGCATCTGGGTTTGAGTTTTTCCTCAGCCAAGCTAGTGCCTGTTCCAGGTCTGCTTTCTCCTTGCATTCCATTAATCGGCCTCCTGTTGTTCCTGGCCTGGGAGAGTGAGTCAGAGCTGGGTAGTGAAGAAAGGCATCTCACATAAAAGAATCCCTAGGTGAGGGGAGACAGGGACAGCTGAGATCCCTTCTAGGCAAGAGTGATGATTTCCCTGCCTCTTCATCACTCAGACTGCTGCTGCTGCAGGGTTTTTTGGAGTCCTGGAGCTCGAGTGGAACACAGTCCAGTCCTGAAGCTAATTAACATTTAGGATTGGCCAACGTCGGAGTGCTGTCTGCTTTTTCCCTAATTCCAAGAGGAAGCGGTCGATCCTATAGCCAGCTTTACAAGTCAGGGGAATATGGCTGTTCATACAATCCTTTGGCTCTGTTATTTTTGCCAGGCGTTTTCCCCAGAGGCTGCTTTCCCTCATGGGAGGCGGAGGGAGAAATGGGACCCCAGGCTTCTTTCAAGGGCAAGGTGAATATGGGGAAATCACCTGTGGTGATGGGGAGTGGGAGGGAGGAATGTAAATAAGGCTAAATACTATAAAGGTGATTTTTTTTTTTCTCCCAACAGGAATTGCTGGCGAAAAAGAGAGAATGTCTTCAGGCCTACAGCTGGTGGAGAACGCCACAGAAGAAACGGAAGAAAAAGAACAAAATAAAGCCAGGAAGAATAGAGTTTGTCCCTAGTAGTACTGCAGCCAGGTAAAGAACTTCTGAAAGAAGCTCTGACCCTTTATCTGCTGAAATTAATAGTAACCAGTGAATACCATAGCTTGTTTTTTAAAATCCTGAAATGGTACACCTGGTGCCTATACATTTAAGTATTGCTAATGGAAATGCATTGCCAATAGAATAATGAAGCTATCTTGTCTGCTTCTGCCATAATTGCTAAGAAGCAGTGGCAAAATAGTTACAGCTTTTTTGAATCATGGCTGTAACTTGAGTTAATATTTTTTTTTCTTGATGCTTTTGTGCTTTCCTCCCCTTCAGACAATAAATGCCCTTTAAAATGCTTTTTCCTATTTTTATTGTGAAAGTGGCAGAATGGACCCAGATAAATTGAGAACTCAGTGTGAGAGTGGTGGCATTGCAGTTCTGTACATTACTCTGCAGAGCTTTGCAGTCAGTATTGCTCTCAGAGTTTATTTCCTTATTTGTGCAGTGATAACTACCTGCCTGTATGTTAGGTACCTTAATATTGCAATCAGCTACCTTAGTCTCAAGCTTGAAAATTGTTCTCTCATCTTTTTAAAGACCAGATTATTCAATATTTGTTGGGGAGCTTACTCCAGAAGTGGATGATTTCCAGCTCTATGACTATTTCCTGAAGAGGTACCCCTCATGCATTGACTGCAAAATAGCAACAGATCTGCTGGGATACTCCAGGTAATGCCTGTGAAAATTTGTAATGCTGTCAGTGTTTGCTTCTATAAGTAACATACAAGAACTTGCACTGGAACCATTTCTACGTTTTCTTCAGATGTGGGAAGAGAGATTAGTCTCTAGGATTATATTTTTTTTGTCTTTTAATGGCAGAAATCCTCATGTCTAAAACTTTCTGGTGTAAGCAGTTAACGTAATCTTCTGTTTAGCCATATGTGTATCTGCATGAAAGCAGCTAGATGGTGGGAGAAGGGAGAGCTGTCACCAAAATATGTGCTGCTGTGCTTACATACAGTAGTGCGTCCATGTAGTCTTTTGCAGTACTGAAGACAGTAATTGCCTTTTTACATGTGGGAGAAAAGTGTAAGGCCTGGCTAATCTTGGGGTTGGGAGATTGAAACTGTATTAACAGCTAGTAAAAAAAGCTTAGAAGTTATACTTGCCAGGCAGTGAGTCAAGCAGGGATGAGCGAGTTTACTCGAGCTGGCTGTAATAGACTAATTCAAGAAGCTTCAGAGAAAAGAAGTTTAAAAAGAATGATAGTAGGAGTGGG